AGGCCGACAGACTGAACTACGGACGCCTCAATATAGCTGTCAATATGCGGACATGAAGTGTGATTCCAAGAAACCACTTTCCTGTGTGCTCAGATGAAGCATATGCCGCGCACTCGGCCACTCCAGACTATTCAATTAGGATTATATGTAAAAATAGTGGTCTGTGATAAGTACTTTCTATTAGGGAGATTAACCATATTGTTTTGACCCAAAACTGCTTGTACGCAACAATACCGCTTTGCTAGAATAAACTGCTGTTAGCGGTCTGTTAAACCACGATGCAGTTGTTGTTGAGCGCACATTACTCCTAGTAGCGACCTGTTGGTGTTCGTCCCACACGCACTGGTTTGAACTGGTGACATTTGATTTTTCGTGTTACGTACCGAGGGCGTAGTGCTATTCCATGCACGGTAGCGTAGCTTCCTTAGCGGATAATGGACAATGGACAATGGTTTATTACGGGTAAAAAAGCATCGCTTAACAAGTCCCGTGGGATGGAAATTATTACGAAAATCAATTGCATAATAAAGTGAAAAGCGTTGTGGTGGACTCACCATAGACTTACGCGGAATAGCGGAGATGTTCGCGTATTAAACATAAAAATCCATAAATCCAATGGTTGAGCGTTTGGCAAGAAACCGTTTGATTGCGTTTTGTAGCCCCTGGCTAACAAGTCATAAAAGGAAATGTAAGTGAGACAACGCATCGTCAACACGTTTTTTAAATATCGCCAGAGTGGGAGCAGTGACGACATAATTAGGGAGGGCATTCCAAGGCTCACACACGCGGAGAGAAAAGAAATTTCTACGGCATTCAAGCCGGCTATAATGAATTGTCAGTTACAGAGGGTGACCTCTTAGTTTAATGTTGGGGTTCAATTCCAGCAGCGGACGGCAAATGTGGTTTGGGTTCTTCAGAATCTGGTAAACCATTATGAGATCCCCCCGCAAAAGCCGATATCGAGTGCTGTACATTCTTAGAGATTTCAGTCTAAGCTGATAGGGCAGATGAAAGAGGCCCCTGACGTTCTTGCTTGCCCGTCGTTGAGGGGTCTCGAGAGCAATGAGATCCTGTTTCTGCCACGGCTGCCACGCCTGAATAGCATATTCCACATGCGGGCGCACGTAGGCGTTAAGCATTTGGGGAAAGATTGAGGGTTCAAACCGACCGAAGGCTCTGCGAAGAAGGCCGAAGTGTTGATTTCCGGTTCTCGTCGCCTTCTCTGCTTGTTTGGAACACCCGAGATCTCCTGTACCAATACACCCAGGTCCCGCTCATGAGAAACCTTTGCCAAGGTGTGGTCTCCAATCTTGTAGGCGCTCACCAGCTGGTGACGCAGATGGGGTGGCGCGAGATTCTTTTTAATGTCGTGGGATTAGCATGGACTCCGATCGACGTACAGATGGAACCCCACTGATTTCGATCGTCCGTCAACTTACCCTTAATTGTATTGGATTTGGATTCGGGGACATTTGTGCATACAATATTTAGGACACCATGGTTGCGCCTGGTGGCTACTGGTTTTGGATTTCGAGGCTTAGTTTCTGGTGTTTTTGTTGAATTTGTGAACGGCCTTGGTGTGTGCCATCCGTGCTGCGTCAGTTTTGTTTTCTCTAGTTCGGGCACAAAGGTTACCGGTGCTCTTTCCGGTGTTTGCTTGGCAGCAACCGATGCGTACGTTGCCGGGTTGTTCACTATGGCTGGTTGACTGTGACTTACAGTCTCGAGTGTAGTGAACAGACTACTAGGTGCAGCACACAGTACAGAAGTCGAGGCAGGCGCACTGCAGTCACTGTTTTTACTTATAGGAGGGAGGGAGAATGGAGTTGATACTGCTGGAGGCTGAGTCGTTGGGGTTGGGTTGGGACGCCTGGCTCGCTTCTTCGGCCTGACTAGTGAGTTCGGGGTGTTATTTTCACTCACAAGTGCAGGTCCGTTTCCTCCCAAGGGTGTAACTCTGGCGCTCACCAGTTGCTCGACTGCTTCGGTCAGTCTTTCACACCTCTTCAGTAGCACAGATAGACAGCTAACAAATGGAATAGACTCGCATACTTGGCAGAACCAAAACGCGTCTGCGGTGTTGGCTTTCGTGAACGCCTTCCCAAGGCAGGTAGTGTGGTATGTTTTCAAACACATAGAACAAACCAGACCACTTTTTACGACTTTGGCACATGATTCGCATTTGCTCTTCATACAAGACATGTTCTCAGTAGGGGTAGGGATGGGATGGAGATACTGACGCACCTTTGCGTGGCGATCGGCGCTGGTTCGAGGTCAGCAGGTCCAGGCGTGTCGAGGCCAGATGAATCACGCGTTCTTTGGGGTGGATGTGTGTGCTATCGATCCAGACGGTAGAGGGTAGGCCGTGGTGGACGTAAGACTGAGGCAAAGCAAGGTGATTTGGAAAATACTGTCTAATGACGGCAGTGGCAGTTCCAAGGACGGATCAAATTGACGACTATCGCTTTGTAGAGCGACTTGAAGGAATGGTAGTACGCTGATCGGGTGACTCACAAAAAGATCTTTAAAGTAAGACCACAAGGGTTCTTATGTGATGAGAGGAGAAATAAAACATCGGATAAGCTTCAAATACGGTTGACTTCGAAGTTCCAAGAGCACAGTTTATTGGCGATCCGTGAATGATAGATCCAATAGATGAACAGTGGTAGGAGGAGCTCGCGGAGCCAAATCGAATGATGGCAGGTAGGTCTCTGTGAGAATAAATCCAAAGATTTGGAGGCGAATAACGCAGGAGGACAGTTTTTTTTGCGACCGCACTGTCGGATCAAATATCCACAAGGAAACGCGTGAAACGCTTGAGCTTGTATCCTGGCTCTTACATCAAAACACGAGAAATAAGGGACACACGAACCAAGCAGAACAAGGTCAGTTTCGTTATTGATCGAGGAGGGCAAACTGAGCGACCCAGGCAATTGATTATGGCTTGTACACTGTGGGTATTTGCTTGCTCCTCGGCATTTCGTACGCTAGACGTAACGGTTGATCCCGATTATTATGACAATCATCTGAAAGCTGTACGGTGATCAACCTTGGGTTGCATCTTCATTCATTCACGGGGGTCATGGAGCTCGCCATCACAGTCGTATCTGGTTGACTGGGCCTAATGGAACCAAGGTTTCAATCTGAAAACTACGCAGCATGGCTGACTACGCTGCCCCCATTCCACCGATAGAAGTCGTGAGAAGACGGAGCAGGCAAGCAGTGCATCTTGTTGTCTTGTTCATTAATTGAATTTCTAAGGAAAGCAAACGTTACCGAACAAAAATTGTGTGGAATTTATTGGCCACTGCTACAGTTTACCACTAGTTGGACCATGTCTTATATTGTAATAAACTTCAGTCAGTTTCAGCTTTTGAATACTAGCAAAAATGTAAAACTTTTGAGTGCTGCTCCATCTCCACGCTGCTCTCCTACAACAACTTCGTCTTACTATGCATTCACACACGGATGATGCCCGGAATCAAACAATGAACTCAATCCTCCAATTTCACTACCTGGTGGGGCAGATCACATTCAGTCATGCAATTAGAAGGCCTCGACAGCATATAGGTCAGATGTGTTCGTAAAGACTGCGTCACATTTAGAATCTCAATTGTGTTTGGACTGCGTAACTAGCTTATAGGTGCCGTTTTTAGAACTGACTTTTCGCAAATATTACCTAATAGTAGGAGACATTATTTTGCTTTTGAGAAGACGCATCGCAACCGGCCACCACGGTTCAAGAAATCGCTAGACGGCCGTTTCTTTCTTCTGCGTCCTGCGCGTAGTGCTAATCTGAGTAAATTCCCATGGACGTAAAGACCCTCCTGGGTGTTATTTGCATTCAACCGCGTTGTATACCTAATAAGAATTAGATGTTTCGCAAATGTTAGGTATTATGAATGAATTTGATGCGTGAACGTCAACTGTACACTATCCGCACCATGGTGCTGCATTGGAGAGACCCACCGAAGAACGAGTTCGTCACTGTACAACTTCAAGCATTTCAACCCGGTCATTGCGATCTACTTTTCGACAGTTCGCGATGTTGTTTTTGACCGTCTAAATACTGGTCGGCGCAAACGAAATCGCTCAGTATGCAATTAGGCAGAGCTGTCACGGTGCTTTCTAACCAAAGCGAAAAGGTGGTTTTACCATACATCAGTGGCCGCTACGGAAGGCTGCGCGTCGATCTCTGATTAGTCTACCAAATATTGAGTGACCGTAAACAGGTACGCCGTCAATTACCATGACACCAATCTCAGAGGTAACACTCAGAAATTGTGTGCACAGTATAGCAGCCTGGAATGCCGGCGGAAGTATTTTTCTCTTCGGGTTTGAAAACCCCGGAACTCAATCCAACGTGTAGTTTACACTCCTACCTTGGATAATTTCAAAAAAAACGATTGAATCTTGCCCTTGGCTCCTATCATATTTTTGCCTAAACTGCGCTATTTGAGAATATATAAGTTATTCCTTCAGGTAGGGTTAATATATGACATAAACTTGAGGAGGCGGTGCAGAAGAGAATACTATCTTTCCACTTTTCTCACGAAGTATATCACCTAAAATTGCCACCGTGTTGCCTCGTCGTTCGCATTCAATTCGTACTTACATTACTATTATTCAGCGGCGTATCTGCTAGATACACACACACAAACAGCCAACTCACATATCTTTTGTCACTGAAGTCTTACCCCTACCATCCTGGAGACTAGCCAAGCAACTGGTTTTTACCCGGCACACATATTTTTCATTGTTCATTGTACTTGTTAGAATTCGGAACAGGGGACGCTTTGGATACCCGTGTACAAATAAGTGAACTCTGAGTTGATCGTGTATGTAAGACTGGTGGATTAACCACGATAAAAAAATATGCAGCATGCGTAAAATACACCAGAATAAACATCAAAGACCACATTTCGTTTTGGTGAATTTGCGGAGTATACAAATGGTGAGACGTCCTTTGCACGGGAATCGTTTTCATCATTCAGATGACGTCATCGTAAACATTGTGAGGTCTGGAAGAAAAATTCAGAAAAGCACTGGAATTGCAGATGTGTGAAGTGATACCGTTTTATTGAATCAGCCAGGTTTTTTGTAGAAATGGTAATCTCATGTCATATAAAACGAGTAAACGAACATAAACGTGTTATTCATGCACGAAAGTAGCATACATGTTGTACATAACTCTAATACATGTCTCAAATTAGCTCATTTCATGCAGGATTTTTCCTTCAAAAACTGCAAAAAAGGAAGAAGAAACAACAATTCAACAGAATAAGCTGAAGTCCGATATTTCGTGTCTTCTCATCATCTATGTACAGACAATCTGTGGAATCAATAGGTTGCAGACACAACGGTAAGACAAGGCGTGAAATCATTTTGTTTAAATAAGGCCAATCGATAACCTCACCAGGGTAGTGGACAGTAACGACAAACTACATCTCAAAATAACTTGAATTTCAGCCGACAAGTTGCTGAAGCCTCTACAAACTAGAGCTAACGAGCAGTGTTCTGTAGAGTAATGGTTTTGGATTATTCCTGCTGGGGCTGACACATAGGGCATTCAAGGATATACTGAGCGATGGAGCTTGCGAGCAACCAACGACCATTTACCATCAGGTTAAGTGGGATCTGTTACCTTCTCTTGAATCTGCGTTTTTCACTTTACTTGCAATAGCAAGTAATTGAGCCGAAATGAGAGCTGGCTCTCCAGAAAGATTGTAGAATTTGTTCCAAGTTACCTAGTGGCAATTAACCCTAAGCTGCTCTCAAGCTCCATCGCTCCACATATCTTTGATTGCCCTACGTGTCAACCTTCGCAGAAACCGTACAAAATCATTAATCAGCCGAGCTCTGCTTGTCAATTCCCGTTTGCAGAGGCCTCAGCGTTTCGTTGGTTGAAATCCAATTAAATAAGGGACGGAGTTTATGACTACACTCGCCTTGTCTTGGCGGGGCAATCAATCACCACTATTCAAACTGAACGATTTCACGTCCTGTCTTACCGTTGTGTGTACAACACTGATTCCACAGATTGTCTGTACACAGCCGATTAGAAAACACGAAATAGTTTATTTCGTCAGCTAATAATTATTTCACAGTGTGTACTGACACTTGAGTTCACCGACCTGCGCTCACCGCTGCTCCATTTATCCCGTATTTTCCTCATCTGGAACCAGGCTGCGCTGCGTTCCTGCCAAGCTGTACCAGTGCAATGTTGTTCATCCGGTTGAAGTAACTCTAGTCAGCTTACAGAGACGTTGGTTGGTTATCTTTGTGTTTCATCTGGCAAGTGTCGGTTCCGTTCACTCATCCCGCACTTTCAGCTTCAGATGCATTGATGCGTTGCTGTTCGTTCGCTGTGACTTAGTCGATCAGCCCCCTTGTTTGGAACCCTAAGGCGTTCCTTAGGAGGGGCCATTTTGAAACACACTAAGTGCCAACGGATTTAGACAGTATCTGAATCCGGCTGGCAATTCGCTTGTCAGTAAACACCTCACCACCGGATTCGTACTTATCCGGTTCGTCTGGTAAACATTGCAGGACAACAACGCGAACCTAGTACCGTTGCGATGTCAGCCTAGTCCTACTTCCCACGTGGGCAGCGTTTGTTAGGATTTCTACGCGCTGTTCCTGTGTTAGTTCGATTCTTTTGTGCCACCTACCATAAGTGCAACATGCATGCAGTGACCTAGATGCAAATAGCTCCAATACTGGCTGGTGTGCCAACCTTTCCAACCAAGCCTGAACTGCAGTGACATGTATGTCGATTCCGCTGCAAAGCGAACCGGTCATCGATATGGTGAACACATCCACCAAAGCGATGTGCCAAAAATTGTGGAGGAGAACTAGCATCAACTATTAATTGACGGTTGCATTTGCTAAGCGCTGGATACTTTGAGAGTACGCGCATGTGCGCACGTAAAAAGGCACATTTCATGTTCGAAGTCTCACGCGGGTGGGTTCGGGATTTCGGTGTTGGGCAACACTGATGGGTTCACAAGCGAACACTTCACGGCAAGTTAACCAGGAGACGGACTTTGCTCACTACGCTTGCGTTAGAGGACGACGTACTCCCCAGCAAGCACCCTCGGGTTTTTTGGTGAGCTCAATATAACGGCAGCCGCACGCGAACTGCATCCGGCATCTGCTCCGCCAGTGTGTATCTGATTACGTTCGAATCAACTGGGCATCCACAGGTCGCCCACAAAACCAACAGGCTGTTACCGAGGAGGCGGTTAATGAACGTTAGTTAGCATTCAGCTGGACGTGTAATAATGGCGTTCTCCAAAGACATACCTATAGAATACATAATCTTACCTTCCTCCATCTGCGCAGCTTCTCCAGCTCACAGTAGCGTTAATACTGGTAACTGGATAGTATGTTTTTGCCTTTCCTTTGGAGGAAAGAGAGCCAACGCATCCAATCGCGACAAAATAATCCGGCGTCTAGCCGTATTGATATACGCATATAATCTGAGGCATCACTGGTCCAGTCTTTTCCGTAGGTGCTCTTTTTTCAGGAAAGCAGCGTAGCCACAATAGCAGGATAGTATATAAGCCCATCGGGCTTCGAAAGTGAAGGATCGCAAAAAGAACTAGTTGACTTTTACCAATCTGAGTTACTCTAGAACTTGTTACGTGCAGGACTTAATACAAATGGGCTACTTATGTTCTATAATTTGGAGTACAAACGTCGAATTATTCAGTGGCAAGAGTGCGTTCTAAATAACCGATGGGTTTCTGGTTAGTTCAAATCATTGAAGGACTGACCATAAGCCGCTCATCCAGGTCCACTGAAATCCACTGAATTAACCCAGCATGCACCGTGCTAGCGGAGGTGATTGTGTACTTGGTCTGCAAGTAACCGTCTGAATCGAACCTTCTCGCTGACTTCTCTAGCGTCTCCATCCTGACAGGTTGGGAAAGTCGATTAACGTGGGTGGAAAGAGAGCAGGGAAAAACCCAGTTATGAAGTTCGAGAATAAAAACTACAAAACAGGAATAAAAGGAATATTGCGACGCAGGTGACTCCCCGCACTGTCGAGAATATTTATTTATTTACAGACTGCCCTCCAAATGTCGCATAACAATTATAACTATTGAGTGGTCTTTGGCTCAGTAAATCTTTCTTTGCATGTCACACGAACTGCCCGTTCGAAAGCGTTAATGATTTGCATTCAATTCCGGTTCTCAGTGTATTGAAGTATTAGCACGCTACCTGTCGATTGGAAGCTTAAGAGCACCAGTTACTGACTCAAATTCTGTTAGGATCTTTGTAGAAAAAGCGGATCAAGAAAACACTGATGAAAAGTGTCTTTGGCTGATATATCTTAACGCTACGATATATGATGTCCAACATTTGTACTGGTGGAATGGAAACGACAACAATTGGTCAATGTTATACGTGTGCTGTTAACAGAGAGTAGATGAACCCTTGCTGTTGTTCCAACCCAGTTGCTTTCGACGTCACTTACTTAATTATGCATAGCACACAGTCCCCTGATGCTCACTGCACCTGTCTTATATACGTGCACAGTTAATTCAAGGGTAATGCCGCTTAGTTTCTGCCAGTGCACTTCCACCCATAGGCACATTAGACTATGTATTCGATTGCGAATGGAAGCATAAATGTCAGTGAATACATCTCTTCTGTATTCAGTAAGGGGATTTATTAGTTTTTTGTAGATTCGTCGCAGTAAGACACAGACAGACAGCAATCACACATCCAGGAAAGAGCTAGGTGGCCGTTTCATCCCATTGGGACTTGTCAGTAGCGCGCACCAGTCGAATCCTGCCGGATTCGAACTCACGACCTTACTCTTGCGAGTCAGAGACTTATGTCACTGAGCCATTAGCGACGGCAGCAGACCGCCATGACTGACATGCAACAGTGATATAGCGCAGCTCATCCTCTACTGTCTTGCATGTTATGAATGTGCAGAAGACAGAGCTACCGAATCCGGCAGAATTGGGCGGGTGCGCGCTACTGACGCGTCCCGATAGGACGAAACGGCCGTCTAGCGCTTTCCTGGATGTGTGGTGGCTGTCTGCCGCTGTATAACTGCGACGAATCTACACAGAACCTGTTAAGTCCCCCTACTGTTTACAAACAATTTGTAGTTACCTTAGCAGCTTACATGCCACCTCGATTATTGGCGGCTTTAAAAGGAAGTCGTTGGTCTGGGGCCAGCCCTGTCCTCTGCACATTTATAATATACAAGACAGTGGAGGATGAGCTGCGCTATCTCGCAGTTAGATATCAGTCATGGCGGTCTGCTGCCGTCGCTAATGGCTCAGTGACATAAGTCTCTGACTCGCAAGAGTAAGGCCGTGAGTTCGCATCCGGCAGGATTCGACTGGTGCGCGCTACTGACGAGTCCCAATAGCATGAAACGGCCATCTAGCTTTTTCCTGGATGTGTGATTGCTGTCTGTCTGTGTCTCACTGCGACGAATCTACACAAAACATCTCTTCAGTAATCGAGCACGACAATTGTGGGATGGTGAAGTGTGCAAACCAGCTTTCATGAGAATACCTCATCAGTGGTGAACAACATATTAGGAATGTAGGCACTCAACCCACCTGTGGTTGTTTAGTTCACTTTGCTGATGCCGGTGCATGTGATATCGTGATAATTCATTTGGGTATCGAAATATGGAATACCCTTTGTGCCGAAACCGGTAGAACATATCGTCATCTTCTCCTCCCCAACCGAAGAAACAGTTGCTAAAACCATTGATGTTGAGGAATTGTTCCTTGGACACTGCAACCACCCCACCGAGCAATTGCAAATAGGGAAGCCTGAGCAAAAGAGTAAATATGGATGGAGAAGGCTTGATCTGAGTAACTCCTTCCTCAAATCGGTCTCTACTCAATAAGGCGTGTGACTCAACAATGAAGAAGTAAAATCCAAGTGCAGATGAGAAGACTGTACTTTGTAGGCAACTGCAATGAATCGTCGTGGCGACACCCATTGGGGTTTAACCCATTTCCCCAAGGACTCATCCTGCGGAATTCGGGTTAATGCTTGGCCATCTGTAGATTTGGATTTCCAAAAGTTGTGGTTATTTATATTTAATCAGCCAGTTGGATAGTCAGCTGTCAGTCAGGTGCTGAGTCAATCAGTCCGTCCGTGAGTCACTCAGGCAGTTAGTCAGCAGGCTGTCTTACGGACAGTCAGCAAGTTGGTAGTAGAGCAACTGGTGGTTCGGTTGGAAACGCGTGATTTAAGCATCAAACTACGACGAATCCGGGTATAATGTCTGTTTGAGTCTGGCCATGAGGGATCTCCTCAAAGAGTAAAGTAAATTGGTCAAGAAATGGTTACTGGGGAGTTTGAGGGGATGAACATCTGGAAAGGGTATACCGAATTCAGGATTTCGTTTGACTGGTGAATACGTTATGCCAAGAAAAAAGTTAAAGGCGCTGAATGGACGACTATGATGGGATGGACACCCCAGCTGAGCCAATTTCAGTTCCAAATCTAAACTCTGCTACAGAGTTTACCGGACCCTGCGCCATACCACTTGAACGGGACCAGCGCACGAGAACATTGCTCACCGGGGCTGATGATCCACAGAAATACCGAGGACACACTATACCCGAAGTAAACAGCTTAACAACATCAGACGTAATATTATACCAAGTACTTTGCTGCCGAACACCAGCTGGTGACCTTCTGTAATACGCACTCACCGCTCTCAAAAGATGTCAGCAACAATTCTCTGACAAAGGTGAGAAGACTAGCATTTATTCCATAACAACAAGCAAGGCTCTGATGAGATAATGCAGTCAGATTAAGGACGCAGATTACCAGCACAGAGAAAGGAGCTAGATTAGCGCAAACAAACGGTCGTATACGCATCTCTGCCTCGACGCTGATTGGCTGATTTTGGGCTACGCTGGAAGGAATTTTCTTGACTGAATTAAAGGAAGAATCTTATGAGTGCAGGAGCACCCTTAGTTATAAAAAGTGACCTAGCCATTTACATCGAGATTCCGACAAGCTAATTCTGCTATCAATTCCGGTGAGATTGCTTCTAAAACAAGATAAAAAGATGACAGACAAACTCCGCGACGCGCGCATGTTTTAGACCCTTGCAATGCGCCAATCACCCTTATGACATATATATGCATGTGAGGTTGTCCAGAAAGTCAAGTATCTACGTAGATATATTAGTTCCTGCAGGATAGAAAATGGGATTACAAACCGTATGTCAAAAGTTCTAGGCGCTTTTGTTAAACTCTGCCACATGTGATGCCTGCGTGACGTTACTCCCGCCCTCCCACCACGATCACACACAGGATGCATAATATGACGCTGCGTATCATATTACTTGTTTCAGGGATTCATATTGAATTCTGCAATATCAAGTGTCTCGCGTTTTATGTCTAATCGTTGGTGTTGCGGCATAATAACAGATGTATCTCGACTTTAGTTAACGTGTAACTAGGTTGCAATCATAAAGCGTGGGGCCTTTGAAATGACCGTTGTCGCTCTCCCCAAAACATCGCCGTTGAACTATCTACCACAGATGGATAAATTCTGCATGAATATCTTGACGAACTCTTTGGCTGAACCATTTCGAGCTCACTGAGAAGGCTCAACTCGACCGATTACTCAAAAAATTACCCTGGAAACAGCGATTAACTCAAAGCTTCTTGATTTCATCCTGATCAGCCGAAATGTCAAGAAACGTTTTAACAATGTTGGCATTGTCAACCGGATAAAGAATCTTATAATTCTTTCCATTGATATACAATTGTAGCTCAAAGAAGTGGAATTTTTTACTCAAGGGACATCGATGTGCACTCTTTCCTCATTCTTATTGTACACTCGTGAAATCCTCATAGTTAATGATTCGATTTTACCACATTTGTGATGGATAATGTGAAATGTGTAAATTGCGCCCACCTGTTTGCATAAAGTTTGTCTTTGTTTACATACAAACATTATATAAATATATATATATATATATGTAATGCAAACATTTTAGCCATTTTATGCACTTTACGCTCTCCACCAAAAATGAGCTCAAACGAAATCAGTAAACAGGTTTTTTTACGCATAAAAACCAAATGATCGATGTCCCTTGAATAAACAGTTCCACTTCTTTGAGCAACTATTGTATATCGATGGAAATAGTTATAACATTCTTTAACCGTTGATTAACACATCTATTGTCAAAACGTTTCTTGACAGCTCAGTTCATTTGGATGAAATCACCAAACAGCGTGTCAACCTATATATATATATATATATATATATATATATATATATATATATATCCAAATCTCTAATCTCCGTTAGCTGTTGATCAAATGCTTAGAAGTTATAATATAACATTGAACACGAATATCATCCATTTTTCTGTTATTTTGTACAGGGTTTTTATTATTTACTTCCGAAACTAGGTGGAGCTGCGCTCACGTGCCTAGGTAACCCGGTAAACTGAATTTCCGACTGTCCAATGGCGCAAATTGCTTTGCCGAAAGTGTCCGCAGGGTTCAGATGCCACACTGAAGCAGGACCTGTGTGTCTACGATCGCAAGCACACGAAGGGAACCGAGGTCGTTCCGATATGAGAAGTGAGTGTTGGCCAAACACCGAAGCCGCACTGGCCGTGTCATGCTTCGAGCGACTGGTAGTCGGCGTCCATGCAGGTGAAAAGCGAGCAAAAATATCCCTGCGAGGTGATTAGTGGTTTGCTGTTTTAACAACGGAGCAGGAGCTTGCCCCCTTGCCATTGATGTATTTGCAACCCCAGTCACGTAATGTACAGTCCAGCAGCGCGTGCTCATTCTACAGCTGTATGGGGAGTGTGGGTCCAACGAGACAGAAACCGCAAGGAGCTATAACACCATGCGCTGCGTTGCGCGGCCCACTGACCAGCGATATGTGCGTCGAATGTTCAAGAGGTTTGTGGAAACTGGCAGAGTATGCAACATCAAACAAACCGGACGGTTTCGTACCGTTACCGATGAAGTAGCCGCTTGTGAGGTTGTGGAAGAGACATGCAGTAAGACGCAAGTCAGCATTCGGCAACTTGTACAACATTGCGAAATCACACCGTATGCTGTGCATTGGATATTAAAGGAAAATGCGCAGACGATACAGAACACTGCAGGTGCAAGTGTTGAACACATACGGTTCACAGAAGCACCTGGAATTCGTCTGTTTGAATTTAAATAGTCTGAAATTACATTCCATTGTGTTCAACGATGAGGCGGCTTTCGGTCTGCATGACGAAGATACGTGACATATTTAAGCAACAAATAACCCACTGCAATATAACGCTTCACGTGTGCCACATAGCATGGAGCTCATAGCCTGCGCTGGGTTGACTGGTCGAAAATCATTGGGCATATTTTCTTTTCCAGAGGTGTGCCCGGTAGAGGGTTGTTTAACACTACTACTGTATAACATTCCTTAGCATCTTCGTGCAGGAAAATGTTGCAGACCAGCGTTATTCCGTAGCTACAGTCGGAAGGGTCACTGAATAACGTTTGGTGGCAACAGGATGGCGCACTTGCATATTCGGCGCAATCGGTTCGTACCTCCCTGAACGGTTTTCGGTGGACGTTGGATCGATTGCGGGGGACCAATAGCGTGGCCTGCGCGGTCACCTCATCTGGATCCCGTGAATTTTTCCTATAGGGATGCTTGAAGCGTAGAGTTCATGGAATAAAGCCCAAGAGCCTAGATAAATTGAAAGAGGAAATTGTGGACCAACGTAGTCAGATTTCTTTGGAGACATTTCAAAACTTCTCGCCAATACCATCCCGCGAATGCTGCTCTGCAGCCAAACGACAGAGGGCACTTCGAATACCTAATTCTATGATATGTACAGATATTCCACACATTTCCTTTAAATACAAGTAAAGAAATGAATAAATGCATATGGTCGATTACACACGAGAGACATCAACAAAGGTATGTTCAATTTGTGCTACAAGCAATTGCTTGCCTCTGAGGGCTACAGATGCATTCATGAGTAAATTGGTGTGATGTCTAATGGTGCTAATAGTATTTCGGGTCAGAATGAAATTTAAGAGCATTTTCAAGTCAAGTCAAAAGTATTCGTTTTTATGCACCTATGAAGGGTGAATTTTTGGGCTGTAACACACACGATCAAAACAGTAAACCGAACAAGACAGTAAGCTTAGAAAGTGCTCCTTACAGTATGATCCCACTTAACAGTGAAAACAGCCTAATGAAAGCCCTCGGGTTTGCTAGAATCCAGTCATGAGGCTATAAAAACTTTTGTCGAGATTGTCTTCTCATGTGTTGCAATATCAATCGGCACCCATCAGTCATTGCATAGGGTCAATTGCAAGAAAAGCAGGCCATTAGCCATTTCGCAGGGATCCCATTGGCTGGCTTCTTTTTACCTTCGTGTAAACCGACTGGCAATCGCGCGAAGCCTGGCACGTCAGTGGGGCTCCGGTGTTTGGCCAACACTCACTACTTACACCCGAACGGCTCGGTTCCCTTGGTGTTCCCCGCGGTCAAAGCATGACACCTGCAGTGCGGCTTCGGCGTTTGGCTAACACTTCTCGTAGCGGGACGACCTCGGTTCCCTTTGTGTACCTGTGATCGTAGACACATGAGCCCCGCCTCTGTGTCTCATCTCACCCCGGCGAAGCAATTTGCTCCATTGGACAGTTGGAAATTCAGCGTACCGGATTACATCAGCACGTGAGCGCAGCCGCCCCTAGTTTTGGACATAATTAATAAAATACCCTGTAGATATCATCCATTGGAATACTTGAGAATATTTAAATGTTTACACAAGTTCCGA